AATGCTAAAGCTATTGAATGGTGTGGTTTAAAAGGATTCTTGAAATCAGAAACCTGGCTACAAACTGCATACATTCTAAAGTCATTTAATGATTGGTTCGATTTATTTAATAGTACGCATATGTATGGACAACACCCAGGGCTGAATGCATATGGTATAGAATTAGAAAAGCAGAATGAAATACTTGAGAAAATAACTCTATTTATTCAAGAAGTAAGGGTCGGCGATCGTAAAAACTTCTTCCTTTTTAAAAGGGAATTCTTTTGTGTAATTCTTCATTAACAAATTTATATGAATATTTAAAAGAACTGTACAGTACCACAGAAACACCTGTTCGTTACATACTATCCAATCGCTTGAGTCAGGATGTGATCGAAAACTTTTTTTCGTATATTCGAGCAATGGGTTCCGGATACGATCATCCGTCGCCACTAGAATTCCGAAACCGATTACGCTGGTACATATTGGGAAAAAATAGCACTGATGTATTTACGGAAGGTGCTAACACCGAAAATCATGATTCTACAGAATTATGCTTGACCAATTACTATGACATTCTTGATAAAATATCTGAGAGTGATGTAACATTGGAAGATGTAGAATTCAACATTTTCCAGATTACTGAAAATGATTGAAGTCACGATGATCAAAATTAATTAAGTCACGATGAGCAAAATGAAAGCGGTGGTAAGTTCAGAGTATAAAATGACCCAAGGAGAAATGTCAAGATGACGTCAATTTGATGTCACATTGATCAAAATATGACATAAATTTGGTCAATATGACATCAAATTGACGTCATCTTGATTTTGATTTCTCATTGTCCAGCTGGAAATAATTCTACAAAATTCTACAAAAAAATTAAATATAACTGCCAGAATCTAAGAAATTCTATGTAAATTTAAAAAGTGTTATAAAAATTAACATGAAAATGCTAGAATTGGAACACTTTGGCTAATTTTTATAATATTCTACAAGTAAGCGGATGTTTTAATTCTTTAAGATTTTGTTGTTTCTCAAACTTTTAAAACTAGTAAAGTTTTGTACTAATTTTTACAAAATTGTACATTTTCATGAAATATTACTTGCAATAATTTCTTCATTTGAGAACTTTGTAATTTGTGGTAATATTTCGTAGATATTTTTACAAAAAAATAAATGTTTCAACGAAGATATAAAAATTTCCACAAATTTATATTTCAAGTCAATTTTTTGTACTTATTTATAGAATTTTTTTCCGCTGTGGTGGGAAATTTGTAAATATGTACACGCACCGGCGGAAATGCCGTCCGTGTCCGTGAGACTCGCACACAACGTTGGCTCTCGCACACACTCTCGCTTGTAGGTGAGGGTAGGGAAACTAGGGGCAGCCGCTCGCGATTGGACCGCGTCGGGGCGACGGGGACTAGCGGGGTGACCGGTATAGCGATCGTAGTGGGGATCCGTGGTGGGAGTCGCTGCGATCTGCCATCCTCGTCGCGAGCCGTGTAAGCGAGAGAGACGGCATTATACGAGGGTAGCCTCTGGTTAATGCTGTCCCTATGCGTGTGACCCGCACACATTGATCGGGGCCACGCACACACTCTCCTCTGTAGGTGAGCCATACACGGTGGCGCGCTAGCTTTTCCATGAGCTTTTCGCAGCCCGTGTCAAGAATAGCGGCACGCGACTAACTCGCATTATATATCCTAATTTGTGTTACGTCCCGCGTTTTTATTTTTGCGCGGGGACGTCAGAAATCTTCTGACAAGAAGAGAAAAGGCAGAGCAAGGAGAAGAAAGATTTGAATTTTTAGTGTGTGCATGTGTGGGTGTATAAATGAGTGTGTGAATGTGGTCTGTATGCTTGGTTTATTTGATATGGGTGTACATGATGTATGTGTGTGGGGGAAGGGGCCTATAACAACGGCATATTCCTGCCCCTTTTCGGAGCGTCGACGCGAGGGAGGATAATTTGTATCCTCCTCTGGAATCGCTCCACGGAGACTACCCGCGGGCGCGCTGTGGTTGCCCGGACGATCGTCGGCTTCCCCAAGACGGGGGACGGTTCTGGGCCCGGGATAGAGGCCAGCGGTGCTCGTGGAGGAGGGGTGATTGGGGGTCGCGGCTTCCACACCCGTTTGGGGCAATACTCGCCGGTGCTTGGTGGGGGAGGGCGTATAGGAGGTGTAGGAGCTTTCTCGGTACGCGGGGGAGGAAGCTGCGGAGGGGGAGGCTGCGGGTACGGGGGAGGAGGTCGCGAGTGAGGGGGAGGAGGTGGCGGGTGGTGTGTCTCCCGGGGCTCAGGCACAGGGGGTGTACGGGCATAGACCTCGAAGATCCGCGGGTCAAACACCCGCACCTGGTGGTGCGCCTTAACCAGACGCCGTAATTGGCGCTGCCGCCCTGAGCGGCGGGACCGGCCCATAATAGGGCTCCCTGCGGAAGGCACTCATGGTTAACGGTTTTAATCGCACAAGTGGGAAGGTGTAAGTCACTTAGTGGGGAGGGGAGGTAAACGGTGTCCTGCTCTGGCACACACGGAATTGCAAAGTCTGCGCAGTACTCCTCCTCCCGTTTGCTCTACTGGTGAGTGGAAAGCATTGGCTTTTATGGGAGTACTCAGTAGCGTGCCATTAATCACTGGGATTCATTTGTGTTGCTATCATCATTGTACTCCATTGCAACGCTATATCCACTTTAATTACCTTATAACTACCGCGAAACAAGATACTTGAATGGTTTCGTTAACAGACTTAATAACAACTAAAGAGAAGGAGGAACGATGAAAAAGAAAAACAAAATTTTACTAGGGAACAAGATCGTCCCTGTCCGCTATAACGGATCTTATGCAAAAGAAAAGAAAAAGAACGTGAGAATTAACATAATATGTCGGGGCCGTCGTGGCCTGAGCATTTGCGTATTTGCATGCCTTATGGCGCAAAGCTTGTTCCGAAAAACCACAATGCGTATCTGGAACAACGTTGTTTAGTTCGTTTATTTCCCCGTGTGCCAGGTGCCCATTCGAGGTTTCCCTAACAGCGAGGGGACCCTGTTAAATTGCCGGTAGCAATGAGAGATGGAAAAATTATCGTGATTTGTCTGGATGAGTCCCCCTTTTCTTTTGTGGGGTCTGACTCGGGGAACGGAGACGACGGCGAAAAGTAACAACAAAACAAAAGTACGAGGTGTAAGGAAATGGAAAAAGAGAAGAAGGTGTACGTGATTCAGATAGGACCCGGGTGCTTAATGCCGGGCTGGTGGATCGGTTCCAACGAAGAACGCCCTGTGTAGAGCGCGCATTCGAAGGTGGAGGAATCTCAGAAGAACGCCCCGTGTAGAGCGCGCATCCAAGGAGGCAGACGGATCAGAAGAACGCCCGGCAGCGAGCACGCATCCGAAGGGTGGAGGCAAGATTGGAAGAACGCCCTGTGGAGAGCGCGCATCCGAGGTGGCAGACGGATCAGAAGAACGCCCGGCAGCGAGCGCGCATCCGAAAGGGTGGAGG